ATATGTAAAACATTTACAGCACAAGGGGAGCTAAAATGTCCTCAACATTGTTTGCTGGATTTGTAACATGTGTTACGGCCTGGCTCATAGGCTGCAACAAAGATGGGAGACCAGACAAGTTAAGTGTAACAAAAGCATATTTATTTACAATACCACAAAAACCAAAGGTCTTCAAAGAAACCTAATAAATGTGGAAGTCAGTTATCAGTAATGGTTGCGTGTATGGGTGTGTGAAAATGTGCAGAAACAAAGACGTGGCCGTGTCCAACAGAAGAGTGAGAGGGCAGTATGGGTTGGTGTTGGCCTTTTATGTAGACGGCCCAGGTGTGGCTCATCAGGTTGATCACCTGAAACACAAACAAGAGCCAGCAAGCAGAACACAAAGACAGAGAGCTCTAGTGGAGTGGAGGTGGTCGCAACAACATGTCATAGTAAAGCCAAAATTACTTCATACTCCAAACCTGCAATACCTGAGTTTGATAAAGATTCATGCATTACTTAAGCAAGTCTTTTTTAACCCTTTAAATAAACAATTTCCCCTGAAACACTATCTATAAAATCAATAACCTAGGTCATTATTAAAGTTCTGCAATACGACCTAAAAACTTCTACTTTCAGTATTTTGGTTTATGTGGGGTTTGTGCTCCCTGGTACTGCATTACATATTATTTTCAGCTGGTGGTGCATTCTTGCAGACCCTGAACCCCCCCCCTCATAAAATACGAGCATACGGGTAGAGAATAGATAGCTAGCCCTTGAGCAGAGCATTTGGCACCGTCTTCAAGAATCTCTCGGAGATTTGGGGCCTCCCCTGCGGATTGCACATTCAGACTTATGATTCCTCTGCACTGCAGCGCGGGCAGGCATCCATCCAACCAAGGACAAAACAGAACTGTGTCTTATGTCTACAAACTGTGTTACAGGCTGAAAGACAGCGAGAAAATTAATGTTTGCACAGATGAATTGCATCTCCCCCGCTCTCTGTATCTGCTTTTCACACATACAAGGAAAGTTATGTATAAGCTGCACAAGTGCAACCAACTCATTAAGTAAACAACAGAACAAGAGAAATGTGTGAATACATATCAGGAAGTGATACTGAGAGGTATGCTGTACAGTGTCTTCAGATAATAAAGCTTTCATTGTGTCTCGCTGTGCAGGTGCAGGTTAGAGCAGAAAAGCAAGAGAAGAAGAGAGTGTGGTTGGTTGCTGAAAAGCTGTGATGAGTGAGTGGAAAGGAAAGGAAAGCATCTATATTTGATTGGGTCTCATGGATTATCCCATAAATAACCAACAACAGCCTTCAATGGTTAGTCCCCCTAATTTCAAACACATTTGATTTATTTCCGTTTTACAGGGAAGGCTTTACGACTCCATATTTACTTTGGTTTTTGTTTTTTCCTTGGTTTCTGTTTGCTCTGCTGTGCAATTACCTGTAGGGATTATTTTTACAACAAGAAAGACAAATACAAACGCTATATTACTAGAAGTCTGTGCAAATTCTACTCAGGTCTACCATGGTTAAAAATAAAGAATATTCTCACATTTTGGGAAATAAGCTCATTTGCCATCTTGCCTTATGCCTATATCAGAATCAGAATCAGAAACAGGTTTATTGCCAGGTAGGTTCGCACATACTAGGACATTTACTTGATATCATGGTACATAAAATATAAAAAACAAGAAATCTAATATAAAACACAAAATATTTTACACCGTAATAAAATACAGTTAAATAGCAATAAAATAAGAATTAAATAAAGCAGTAATTTACATGGAAATAGAATGCTATGAATGAGTTTTTGCATATAAACTATGAAATGGGAAATCAGAATATGTGCAGAAAGGAGTATGACATAGTGTGCATTAATGTGATGCATATAGTCTATGATGTGGCAGAGGTAAAGTGTCAGCGGGGGGGCCGGGCCTTGTTTAAGAGGCCGGTAACGGAGGGGAAGAAACTGTTCAGGTGGCAAGAGGTTTTGGTCCTGATGGAGGACCCCTGCCAGAGGGGTGGGAGAA